AGCTTCTTTGATAGCTTTCTCCGCTCTTAAGTTTGCAAAATGCAAAACGTTGGTCTTGCCCACAATATCCTGGTTGAGGGAGTTGCGTGCTCGATTTGCAGCGATATCCGCCGCATCGTTTCCAACACACGCCCACTTGTCTTCAAGGGTATCTAAGTCGCAAATTTTACTATGGGATTTAACCTTTACCACAGAGGTGTGCTGGCGAACATCTGCACAGCTCTACACGCGTGATGTATCAGGTCCAAGTTTTTTGAGGTTCCAAATCGCTCTGGGCGGGGCTCGTCCATGATGTCGTTGAAAAGGTCACATGCGTATGAGCTGTCGGTGTGAATCAGCTTGCGCTCAAACAAACAAAACGCATGGGTGATGGCAGAAAACTCTGCTCGATTTATAGTTTGGTTGCCGTGGATGGCTGATACGGCAACACATCTAAATACGCCAGGAATTTTCTTATCGCGTGTATATTGGTCGAGAATTATTTGCTTCGCGGCGACACTCTGAATGCAATCTGCAATTATTGCGTAGGCCGCAACATTTTCGACATGGAAGTGCCTGACCGTGCAACTCCCATCAGTGAAAATATTGTGGTGCTGCGCAATCCGGTTACCGGTGAGTGGTGGTAAGGGCTTGCATCGATTCAATCTGATAATTTCGCTTTCGAGGTCATGTGGTGGAAAAAGGGGGAGCTCGGGGCTGACATTGGCAACCCGGAGAGCCTGCAAACATGTGTTAGTTTGAACCCCAGCTTGCTCGTTCTTCGGACATAACCAAATATGGTGCATGAGGGTATCCTGCTCCCCACATCTTTTGCAATTGCCATCAGCGTCAGGCCTATATTTACTCTTGATTATCTCCGTCTGGAAAGCAGTAGCCATGACTGGAGCAATTTCAAGTTTTTCACAGACCTTGGCATGTCTCAGTATGTGAGGTCTCCTGCAGTGTTGATATTGCTTTTGGTTGGTTATTGCCAAATGAATGTCTTTCCCCCAAGCAAAAGTGAGATGCGGACGAATATCAAGGAAAGACGTTGTGTTTATGGGGAATTCAATTCCCATACCGGTCAATATGGCGCGGTTCTCCGTGCACTTCCATCCTATTGCCGCAAGTCTCTTCTGCAGGGTACCACACGGACCGTATGTGCGTTTAAAGTTGGTGGCCTGACAGGCCGTCTTCAACATTTTTTCTCCCACCGAAGGCTTGTTGTGCCAAGTGTCGAGGAACGTGCGCAAGGATTTCTCTAAAGAGAAATATTCAGGATCGACGTTTTTTACGGACAGGGACCCGCAAACAAGGAAAGGGTTGGGTTTCCCTTTTTGTCCATATAGGGCCTCTGTGATACGCGTCCTGAGCCGCTGCAAGTGTCTATCCTGAATCGCGGTGTTTTCACACGCGTGGAGTGCAGCTGGAAGCACTGCTGAGCTTATCATTTTGGCCTTATCGTCGACACTGAGTGGGAGTACAGCAATTTTCTTAAGGCGGGCGCAAGCCTTTGCAAGTCTTTCCGGCAACTTTCCCACACAAGGCGTTTTATTATACTGCATGGTGGCGCCAAGGTCGGTTTCACTTTTTTGAATTGAGAACGTCTGACCCTGAACCTGTTCAACAGATTGCAACTTTTTCCACATGACTTTATTTGCGTTGTCGGTAGCCCATGCCCAGCACTTAGGCATGGACATTTTTTGTCTCCAAAGCTACAAAAGGACTTAGTGGCAGTATAAGCCGCTCGGTTTTCGTCGGGGTTGCCGGTGTACCATTCCCAATTATCGGCATACACAAAAGTGGATCCACTTATTGCGCCGATATTCACTGTCCATAGGTACGATATGGATATCATAGCAAGTACACTGACTGGGCATCCTTCTGGAGCGCCTGTAGTGCTTTTGCCAGTAGGTGTGGCAGCACCATTGACAAGCATTACTCTTTGGCACATCTGAAGGGCGGATATCCAAGTCTTTTCATAAGGTAGGCAACTGGTTGTCGCGGCAGCCCGTTAAAAGCCTTTTGTATGTCCATAACAAAGCCTGCAATTGGCCTATTGTTTAGGATGCTGTCTTCTATTTCGGCTTGCAAGCGCAGCCAAACGTCTTCGGTTTTCCTTTTTGGGAGACCTCCCACTATAGAATCAGGAAGGATTTTAGACCAAGACTTAAATACTTTGGAAGAGTGGACTTTCGCCCATGTTCGGTATAGCAAGCTAAATGCAGTTATGGGCCTGGTGGATTCGGCTCCAGGAGGAGCGTCAAGTTTATTCAAGAGAACAACTTTCGCGGTTACTAAATGCTCGGGCCACTCGCCTGGTTGGATGTCTTCAAGGATGGTTATGACATCCGATAAGATCCTATCTGAGAGATCGGCTAGTTCGGGTTGGGAAAAACCACATCCTCCAACTGCCGTATTGTTTTTTGTGGCTTTAATGGCGGCGCGCCACAACTGGAGATCACGGCCATTAGAGTAAATGGTCTCGTGTTGAGATGTGTGCTGGTCAACATTTTGAACGCACTGACTCCATTCATCAAGCGAAATTGACTCTTCAATTGTGTCACGTTGCCAAAATTGGTTCCAGTATGCGGCAATTTTTCCCCCGGCTTTTTGGGGGTCGGTAATCCAATGTTTTACCTGACACTTGACGTGCGGTGTGCTAGGCGCGGTGCCCATCACGGTGATGCACTGGCGCTCGACACAGGTAATTACACCAGGGTTCGAATTACATTCTATGTGTTGGCCTGGGCTGCATTGAAAGCCACATGGCACTTTTAACCTAAAAGTGCCATTCTTACCTTTGTGCCTCAGCATCTGGGCATGGCAAGTTTCGGGATGCAGCACTTGGTCAACTGGGGGTCTTGAAGGTTCACGTATAAGTGCGTACGACAGTTTGCCCCCGTGATGATGCAAGTCTGTGTGAATAATTTTTGGAAAATCTGCATCTCGAGCACGGCGCACTTTGTTATGGAAGTTATCACAATCTGCCTTCACTTGCTCGTACAGAGCATTGATGTATGGAAGGTCAGGCACATGCACAGGACACCATCCCAGGTCGGGATGAGAGGCACACCATGTGGCAAAGGTGGGCAAATACCCTTTCGCACCCAAAATGGCTTGCCACTCTATGCATGCTTGGTTCAGGTGCGTTTCACTGGGATCATGCTGGCAAAACCTGTCGATGAGATGCTGCAAATAGTGAATTCGGCGGACCTGTCTAGTTTTTAGAGTGGCTTCATGACTAAGCGTGTCAAATGACGAATTATATCCTTTACTGCTTTCGGGCTTCATGCAGTTAGGAAGTTGCACGGATTTCAGCAACTTACCCTGGCATCTTCCCTTGTAAGTCAAGGGTAGTTGCGGATATGTACACTGGTCAGGATGTTTTTGCTTTGCGTCAATGTAGGCTTTATCAACGGCTCTTTCGACGGACTGCGCCCATCGTGATAAGCGTTGGGTAGGGTGTTGATCACTTGAATCCTGGAATGCGTAGTGCCTGTCAATGTCACTATGTTGAATTGGAAAGTCTTTCCAAGACTTGGGCACAGTCCATTGCGCAGTGAGTGTGTTACTTTTTGGGACCTGAAAAACGGCCGTAAATGGGACATGTGAGTCGCATAGAAAATGTTGCTTGACATATCCCCGCTCATGGGGTTGAAGTAGGGGTCCTTTCAAGAGTATGGTGTCATGAAAGGTCTTATTTCTGCACGTGGGTTGAACATCTTCAGGGTTGCAGTCGCGCGCGACCATAAGCAGGTCGACAAATCCCAGGTCTTGCAACTTGGCGCCGCATGAGCCGGTAAGTGGGTCATGGTTGAAGTCACCTGCAATTGCAACAGATGCCCTAATTTTGGAAGTTCTCTGAATTGCCCAACTTAACAGGATTCCATTCATTTCATAGTGCTCGGGAACACATTCCGGGACCCCGTATATTCCTACAATGAGCAAATCCATGTGTCCAACTTTTACCCAAGTTTCCATGTAGCGACCGGTCTTCAGGAACTCGGGCGGCACTTCGGAAAAAGGCTTCTTTAGAGGGGTTCTGGATATTACTCCAACACCAAGACACCTACCTCGGACACTGGGTTGTCCGTTAATTTTAATCAACTGCGGTTCTACTGGGTCACCCCAAATAGAGTTGATCTTCTTCTTGTGCAACTTGGCTTTTTCCATTGTCAAAGTTTTTCCGTGGCGCCAGTTTCACTCAAGACGACTACGTTGGCATCAAGTGAAGCAATGGTGTCACTTTTCCCATTGATTGCGGTGGGGTTCGTAACCATTATTTTAAAAGAGGGATCGGGTCCGGGTCCGGGGTTCTTAGCTTCTCCAACTCTCTCCCCCAAAAATGGATGGGATAAAACCACCAAAAAATAGAAACATAGTGACCCTGCGCAAGCGGAATCCCTAGGCCGGCCGATGCGAACCGATGCGAGACATCACCGGCCTGGCTGGGGCTATCCAAGGTCAGCACCTCGAAGGCGCGTGGTGCAAAGTGGCTGGGGGATGACTCAGCCATGAGCCGGCTAGTGCGACGCAGTCGAAGATTCTCACCCCAGCGTGCTGATTGATCCAGGCAAACAGTACGGATGCGCTGCGGTGGGGGGGGGGGGGGGAATATCTAACAAAGCTACGTGGAACCTGACAGAAAACAATTGTCCAAGTCTCCCAAAGCTTGCCTTCCCCCATTTCTTGGCCAAGAGTCGTGGGGAAGCATCGTGCTTGAGCTTATGGATCGGATGTCTAGAGACTTGGCACTGGCTCATGCACCCATTGTGTCATTGGTTGAAGGGAAGTCCAAGAAACCCACCCATTTTCAGGCTCCCCATTTCCAGAGACACGCTATTGGCAGAGCTGCATGCTGAGGCGAGAACTTCGGCGCCTGAATCGGTCCTCCACATGCTGGCCTCAGAGTCTGAGAGGTGCGCTCCAGGAAAACCACGCATAAAAGGAGTCATGTCATAAGAGCAACAACAAGACTCCAAAAGCGACTGGCATCCGCCCGTGGTTTCGCGCTAGAACCGTACCATGCGTTTTCTGCAATGCAGGATGTTCCAACTTCCCTCAGGTGCGCGGCCCGAATGGCAGTGAAACGGGGTGACTGGTCACCGAAAGGGCCCAAAGCCTCGAAAATGGATTGGCTCTTAAACTTCATGCCGCAGACTTGGACTTGCGACCCTTCTTGCGGCGCGCAGCCCGAGATTTGGGCCTCACCTCCTGCTTGTCACCCAAGTCCTCAACACTTTTTGCCACCAGGTCGTTCTTGACGAAGGGAGAGGCTCTGGTGTATCTTCTCCCGTCATCCTGCTCATCCACCGCATCCTTGATCTTCTTGTACTCGGGGTACTCCTCAGCAACCTGGTTCTGCGTTAGCTTCATTTGTCCAGTTGTCAGCAGCGTGTTCGTGAACCAATAGATGCCGACGGCTTGCGGAGAAACCAGAGTTGAGATCATGATAAACGCAGGCGCCAAAACGCCTGCGGCCACATCGTCCTTCTTCGATGCGCTCATCCTCGCACTGCGCCAATCTTCGAAGCATGCCGATAAATCATGCAACGGCATGCAACTCACCATGTCTACAAAGCACCAAGGGCAGGCTGTGCGCATGCTGGTGGTGAAACGCTATGGGACCGTGCTTGTTGATGCCTCATTAAGTTGTCATGTCGAGCTTCCCTGCTCTTTTTCTTGGTTTTTGGATGGTACCATGCGTTAGGCTATATAACGTGGGTCAAATCTGCCGCCCCAATGACTGGCCCCATTCGCATTCGGAGGCAGTTGCAGCCAACCCTTAATTCCGCTCAAGCGTCCTGTTTGAGAAATACTGCAGCGCGAAAATCAGGAGCGGCAGCACCAGGTAGCCCCCGGCTTCCTGCAAAGGCGCGCCCCTGGAACTGTCAGACCACGACCTCTTGATTGGACCTTCCTGACTTCCTGACCCTTTTGACGAGACAGGAACCCACGCAAACGGGAAGCCAAGAAGCATGGGGCCCTGAGCGCGCCTGCCACCCAACCAGCGGTTCAAAGTGGTCACTGGACTGGGTCTTCAGCAGCCAGTCAAGACTTGGCCTGCGGCAAGGGGCAAAACGGGTAATGCTGGCGTGCTTCTGTGTCTTGCTGCCTTTGCTTGCCAAGTGTTGCTTGCTCCGTCACTCAGTGTCGCACTGGTTTTCACTCTTCCTCTCCAGAACGCAACCTCATGCAGTTCTGCAGCCTAAGTTTGAATCGCAGCACGCTTTCGTAGCCGCCGAAACTTTTCGGGCCTCACCCTCCTTGGAGTTTTAAGTCCATGAAGTCAGGAAGTGAGTATTTCAGCTCCCCCCCCCCGAACTCAACACATCTTTCGGGGCGCATCGCGCATCGTCCGGGAACCGGCCTGCCGCTGGCCACCGGCCCCGCCAGGCTGGGGATCCAGAGGAAGGGCTCCTGTCGCGCGACGATTCCGGGGGGGGGGGGGGGTGGCCCCTCCCCGCATTGCCATGACTGGGGCTGTTTGACCGAGAATTGGCCCCTCTCTTTTTGTTTGGGACTTACTCCCTGAAATCCAGCCCAAAGCTAGGCGCGGTTTTGTCGCCCATGGCTCCCAGTTATTTGGCAGATTTGTGGCAGCTGGCCTGACATGACTTGGCACTGGCTTTCATGTGGGCGGCTCCTTGAAATGATCATCTTGGTTGGCCAGCGAACCGATGGCGCGGAAGAGGGCAATGAAAATGGGCAGCTGGAAGAGGATTGGCAGGAAGGCAGCAAAGGGGTTCAAGCCAACCGTGCCTCAGGACGCCCAGTGGTCATGGGAAAAAAGGGCGGCCGTTCTTGAGGGTGATGTGAAAAGGAGAAACCCCTTCCCCAAAGAAAAAAAAAAGGTGTGGGGGAAAAACGTCATTTCTTGGGGGGGAAGCGAAAAGAAAACAACCCTCCCCAAAGAAAAAATAAAGGTGTGCCACTCAACTGGGTTGCCATATAGCTCCCTGAGGGCCTTGCCCCTGGCCTCCTCATCTAGCGGGAACTTCTTCTCCAGCTCGTCCACCTGCGGGGATAAGAGCTGCGATAGCGCAGAGGTGCGGAGCGCTGGCTGCTGCAGCGGGTAGGTCACCACTTTCAGGAGGATGGTGTACAAAACGACGGCCACCCCGGCGGAGCCTACCACACCATCAATGCCCTCGATGATCTGAGCATTCAAATTCACCTCAGCCAAGTCCAACGCTTGCCCCTCGTGAATGCCGCCTGTCTCGCCAATAGGACCGCAAACAAAAGGAACATGCGCCAGAAAGGTGTGGCTAGCCAGGAAGGTGGTGTTTTAATTTCGAGTGCGCTGGCCTTGACGAGGGGGTGCCCGTTTTCTGAGCTTGTCATACATGGGGTGTCACAAGAACTGCAGTAACACATTGCCGATTGATTGGCAACAGTGCTGGCAACAGCATTGCATAAGCTTTGAGAGGAGAGGGACGTCTTTAGCTGGGGGGTCCGGCAAGGTGCCAAAACTGGACTCTTCCGCTGTCTTTGCCCGAAACTTTTTGCAGGACTGGGATGAGCGCTCAGCCAAGACCCGCGGCACAAGCCTCAAGAGAGGGCCTTCATTCTGACCCTAGCCTCGCCGCTTGCTGAAATGGTTTCGGCTTTTGCTGTGGCAACAGCAGAGGGTATACCTTCGACCAAATCTGAACATCTTTGACCGCAAACACTCTGGTAATGCTGCGCATTGCTCCTTGCCAGGTTGCAAAGGGCTGGAACCAGTCCCCGCCGTCCTCCGCCCACGCCGGCCCCGGCAGCGCTGCCAGGCCGGCAGCGGCCGCGGACGCCGCAGCGGCAGTTTCCGAAGCCGCCCGGGGCGCGGTGACGTCGCTGGCGCGGCCCGGCGCGGCCACGAAGGTCCGCGAGGCGAAGAAGAAGGCGACGACCAAAAGCGCCAAGGGCCAAACTCTCCGATTCGCCATGGCGCCGATGGGGCCCCGAGACGAGAGGCCCAGGTTCACCTGCCTTGAAGTTTTCGCAGAAAAGGCGAGATCTCTTTGCACATGTGGATGCATCATTTTGCAGTGAAGATCGGCGGCTTTTATTGGCATTTACGGGATCCAGTTGCGTTGCACCTGGGTCCTCCGTCTCCGGGTTACTTCTCTGTTTTTTCCGTTCTCCGGGATATTTCCAGGAGACCCTGTGAAAACTAGGAGTTTCAGGTGTTTCAAATGCAGGAATCAAAAAGCAGGAGTGGCTTGCAAAAGGCAGGAGTGAACATCAAAAACTAGGAGTGGTTCTTGGGGGAAACAATTGGATTCAAGTCTTGTTGTCTTTTTTGGTTGTTTGGGCGCGCAACTGTACACTATCCCAGCAATTATGCAACTCTGCACTGGAGTTGGTATTCCACTGATTTTACTACGCACACTCCGGAAACTCCGTCTTTTTTTGATTTGCGGGAGTTTGCAGGCTTTTTGCGGGTGTTTTGCGCTGAGTTTCAGGTGTGGCGCTTTCCGGTTTTGCCAATTTGTCGCCCAAAGGCAATAATTCCGAATTCAGAATAATTCTAGAATAGAATTCTGAATAAAAAATTCTGATTCAGGTGAACGATTCTGATTCAGGTGAATGATTCTAATTCAGAATATGTCTGAATTGGAGAGTTCCTTCCGTCAAGTACCGAATAATTGAGATTTCTAGGGGTTTCAGGTGTGCAAACCATTTCCAGAAGCGACAATCAATTTCTAGGAGTTTTACCTCAAAAACCAGGAGTTTGAAAACTCTGTGTTTTTTCACTGAGACCCTCAACAAAACTGGTAGTCTCCGGATTTTACGTGAAATTTCATGATTTGGAAGATCCAGGCATGTCCAATTCCGCCATACGCCGCTGTTTCAACGAGCTCTGAGCGGGGCCCCGTGCAGCCTGCCGCAGCCCAGGTGGCTCCTTGCCGCCGAAGCACGGCACCTGGCGCCGCGAAATGGCGGCGTCCTTTGTCACTTCGGGCTGCGAGCGTCTCTCGGGGTTGCGAGCGAACTGCTGTTTGGCTTGGCTTCCTTCCCTTGTCTCCAAGAAGAACCGTCTTCGCAGGAAACGATGGGCCGTGACTTTGGCTTCGCACAGCCGGATCCGGCACCGTAGGCTGACGGGCCTACCAAGAATGGCCTCTTAAACCAAGGCCGCCCATCTTCGAGCGCGCGTCTGCATCCTGAATCCCCTTCTTGAACAAACGATGCCCTGCCACCTGGTCCGAATTTTTCTGCAATGCCTTTTCCCGCACCTTCGGCGCCGGGGACAAGCAATGCACCAAGGCACCCAAAGCTAGTGGCGATAGTCACGGGTGTTCTTTCGGAACACACAAATTGAACTGGCAAGTATGGAATCAACCTTATTTGCCAGTGGAATCCATCAATGTTGACGCAAAAGGACACCCATGCTTGAAACGAAGGCTTGCTCTTCACCTGGAACATCACAAGCATTCGATGATCTCTGCCTGTGGCTAGCGGGTAAACAACCCAAAGCCCTTTGTGGCTCTGGGCTGATGGAACTTGCCCAAATACCAACATGGAACCCAGAAGACCGGATCCCATCCTAAAAATCATCCTGATTCCTCCAGAAGCGGATTTGCTTGTTTGTGTGTTTGTGTGTCCCTGATGATCTCTATATATTTCCCACCCAAACATTTGGCATTTGCATGAAAAAAACCCGTGGCCATGAAGTTCCCAAGTTGGATCCTTCCGGGTTCAGCGTCATGTGTGTGTGTGTGTGTGTGTGTGTGTGTGTGTGTGTCCGGGATCCGGATATTTCCCACCCAGAAATGGCTTTTGCGTGAAAGCCCCCGTGGCCAGGAAGTCGCCTCTACTCGGTCTGACCCCTCAGGGTGGTCTCAATGGACTTCAGCACCTCCGGGTCGTCCGCGTTGTTCAGGTTCACGTCGAAGCTGCTGTCCAGCTGCCTGGGCAGCTGCAGGAGTCGTGGGTGCAAGGGAAATCAAGCAAGCGTTTCTGGCGTCTTCGGGGATCAGACGTGTTTTTTGGGGATCAACAACCACTTGCCGTGTATGGGGCATAACTCACCTCC